GACGTGCTTGGGAAGGGACGTGGGCTAGACGAGCGGTAGCGCATAGGGGATGGTGAGCGTGGTTGATGACGACGAGGCGGGTCAAATTCCCGACGTGAGCATAGGTATTCTTCAATCTCGGAAGGTCTTTCGCCGTTTCGCGGACACGGTGCATTGATGGCGAATCCCCTAAGACCAGCTTGACGATATCGGCAGAATCGGTACAGGTGGCCAGCCTCTCCACAGTGGAAACACAAGGGCCTACGTGTGGCATCTCGCCACACATCGCTCTTCCGTGGCATCATCTCTCTCGCACGAGGTGGAGTGCGTGTTGCCTCTACGATTTCAGGCGGGCTGCGCATTGTCTGCACATAAGTACTTGGTGTCTCGATCGGCGAACAGTGCGGAGTAGGTCGCCTGAGCACCTCGGAGTACGTTACCGCCCGTCGTGTCGCTGGCACATCACTCCGCGGCTCCCGCATGGCCTGTCGAATTTCATCTCGGACAACTTCAGCAAGAGACAGCTCGGGGGTGACATCAGGTGACTGCAGTTTCCTTAATTCTTCCCTGACAACAGACCGGACGAGCTCGCGCAATGTGTCAAGATTATCCACGACGCCTGCTGAGTAGACTCCTGCGGATGCACCGGCTACGTCGCGGTTGTACTGTCGGGCTCTCTGCTGAAGCGTCGTTTCGATGGTTGTTGCTTCCGACCGAAACTCAGCAACAGTACGGGGCGGATTGCGGATGAGTCCCGCGAACAATTCTTGCTTTACCCCGTGCATGAGGTGGCGCACCTTCTTGTCTTCCGTCATGCCAGGATCAGCTCGCTTGAAAAGGCGGGACATGTCTTCGATGTACATCGCGACAGTTTCGTTCGTTCGTTGAATCCGTGTGCGGAGAGCTGCTTCCGCCCTTTCCCGGCGATCACTGTTGGCGAACGTACTCAGTAGCTGCCGCCGAAACTCTTGCCACGACGTCAGAGATGCCTCGTGGTTTTCGTACCACACTCGTGCAGAGTCTTCCAACGCAATGTAGACGTTACGCAGCTTGCCTTCCTCGTTCCACTGATTTAGATTTCCCACTCTCTCGAAATGCTCTAACCAGTCTTCGGCGTCCTCGTATGGGTCACCATGAAACACCTTTGGAATGACCGGTTGGCTTACGATGAGTTGTGCCGGCGTAACTTGGCTCGTCATGGTGGTGGCGGCGCTTGTCTCCGTCACCGATGCCCTTGATACAGAAGGGAGTGGCCCAAATTCTGGCAACTCTCCTCGGATACGGCGGCTGACTCGTTGGTGCACCGGTGTAAGCTCCACTGGTTGCGGCTGGTCAGTGCTTGGACTTCGCTCTTGCGTGGGGCTCGGAATCATGTACCCAGCACCTCCACCAGAAAATGTAACGGATATAACAACCTCACAACCGGGACGTCCTATTTACAAGGTTTAATAAGGGCGAACTTGTGCCCAAAGCCAAAAGAACTACACAGTAGCTGGGAGAAAGCAGCGAACGCTCGTCGTCCTCTTCTTCTCCTCTTTTCTTTGCCGCTGCTCGGTAGCAGCTCGTGCACAGGCTGGGCCGGCTCGTGCCTTCCGGCGGGCTTCATGAGTCGTAGCGATGCCGTCAGCGTTCCTCTTTTAACAACGTCTGCGTTGTACTGCGCCTTAGCAATTCCTCGTGGCAATATATATATATATATATATATATATATATATATATATATATATATATATATATATATATATATATATATATATATATATATATATATATTTATATATATATATATATATATATATATTATATATATATATATATATATATATATATATATATATATATATATATATATATATATATATGTGTGTGTGTGTGTGTGTGTGTGCGTGTGTGTCTGTCTGTCTATCTATCTATCTATCTATCTATCTACATGGTGGTTCCTTCAATCTATATTGATTGATTGAAATAACTTTAATGAGGTCCTGCGGGACGCGCCTTGTGTGGGCGACTCACACATCGGGTATGCACAAGAATTTTAGCCCCTTACGACCTGCAGGAATCTTATCTAGCTGTTCAGAGCGTGTAGGAATAATCTACCAATTTTTTTTTACCACTGTCCTCCCTGCACTGGGTGTGAGCCAAATTATTACTGGGGACAAATGAAAAGATGATGTCCTTTAGCTCGTGGCCATCATCAGGGCCATGCGCACGCTCTCAGCCGGTACACATTGGACAACATAAGGCCAATTGCCTTGACATCAAATCTGGTGAAATTGATTGAGAGAATTATCTATACTCGAATCAACAGATTTATTGACAAAATGTCAATTCTAATAAGCCCCTGTCAAATCGGGTTCAGGGCTGGGTGTTCCATATGAAATGCTCATGTTGATTTAGAAAGCCGTCTACAGTTAGCCCTACGGGACAACAAGTATGCAGCTTTAGTTACTTCGGATATCGCTAAAGCATACGATACTGTAGAGCATGGTATTCTGATAGATCGACTGGAATCCCTCAATTTTCCGGCATACATAGTAACGTGGATTCACAAATTCCTTTTGGACATGAAGTTCTATTTCTTCAAAGGCGGCTTTACATCGACTATGCATGTACACACAAACGAGAGGAGTATCGCAAGGCTCAATGCTGTCCCCGGTGTTATTTAATGTGCTAATGAGCACCATTCAACGTAACCAGGACATAACAACGTATGTTTATGGAGACGATATCTCCTTCTTTGCCACGGGAGACACCATTCAGACGTTATACGACTGCCTGCTGTCTTATCTTAACACCCTAGAGAACTGGCTTGATGACAATCACTTTTTACTAAATCTGAGTAAATGTGCTCTTCTTGTCTTCTCTTGAAATATCCCGTACCCATCTCATTATGTTACCATTCTGAGGACATACCACAGGTGGGATCTATTAAGTATCTTGGGGTAATTTATAAAGCATCTCTAAACTGGCGCCAACACATTTAATACATAGCTGGAAAGGGTGCACTAGCCGTCGGCATGTTACGTAGAATAACCAACTACCGAAGAGACATGAGAAGATTTACACTAGTATTGATATATCGAATGTATGTCCATCCTATTATGGAATTTAGATGCGTGCTTTTCTCTGGTGCTACAGTCTACAATATTCTGCCTCTCATTCTTTTAGAAAGAGAATTCTTACGATTATGCCTTGGTCTCCCTAAAACAGTTTCTAACTGCGTTTTATACCTAGAATCGAGAGTTCCTTCTCTTTCGTGCAGATTTCGTATCTTGACCGTTCAGACGTTTTTAAAAATGTATGAGACACCACTTCAGCCATCGTAGACAGTATTTATATCCTCTCCGGAATTATTTTTCGGTGTTAGATGGCCACGGTTTCACACCCCACAAATTAAATTTATACAACGTTTATTGGACCCGCTGAATGTACGTGTGGACGAGATAAGGCCGACTAGCGATAATTCACCCCACGTGGATATTCAATTTGATGACATTTTTTCTAATAATACAAAGTTGCTCCCCCATCACACTCTAGGTGGTTTATTGCAAGAACACTTGCAGAACATCAAAACAAGTGTAATTATTGCTACAGATGCATCACTGCAGAGTGGCCAAAAATCAGCTGTTGGTATATTCAGCCCGAACTTGGATTGGTCCTATTCGCTCCTACCTGATTTCATACCCGTTTTTGTGGCCGAGTTTCTGGCAGTGGTACTCACCCCATACGAAAGTTAAACGCAGAAATTTCATCGGCGGTTATAATTACAGATTATCTGTAAATTGGCGCTGCACTTTCGGTCGGCTTTGAATCGCACATAATAAATGAGTTTCGTGCATTGATGCCCCCCCCCCCCCATTTCAGAAAAGTTAGATTAGTTTGGGTGCCGGGCCATAAAGGGTTGCTCTAAACGAAATGGGTGATTATTCAGCGAAGTCAGCAATAAGTGGGCCAATTTCACCGTGTTTTCCACCATCAGATTATGTAACAGCTGCGCGATTTCGCAGGCGTACCATAATAAAAAGCTCCGCAGGTACATCAGTTACAAATCGGACAGAATATCGGCACTTCTTATATCCCTGGCGCCGATCCTCTTGTGACACACGTAAACTAGAAGTCACAATTACGAGGCCGCGCTGCGCAAACTAAATTTCTACCAACACAGGCCTCCAATGTGCGCTTTCTGTGGCGAGCCAGACATTATGGATCATTACTTTTTGACATGTAGATGATTTACTACAGCTCGTAGATCCAAGTTAGGAAATCGATTTGTGGGGTTTAACGTCCCAAAACCGCCATATGATTATGAGAGACGCCGTAGTGGAGGGCTCCGGAAGTTTCGACCACCTGGGGTTCTTTAACGTGCACCCAAATCTGAGCACACGGGCCTACAACATTTCCGCCTCCATCGGAAATGCAACCACCGCAGCCGGGATTTGAACCCGCGACCTGCGGGTCAGCAGCCGAGTACCTTAGCCACCAGACCACCGCGGCGGGGCTAGGAAATCATTTACGTGCTATTGGAAGGAGTTCATCCATGCTCGTGATTCTGTCCTTTGGAGCCTCTATTTCTGTGTTTGCCAGTGCGAAAGTTTGTGAGGCAGTGCGGAATTATCTGAATGCAACGAAAAGACTAACAAACTAATATTATTATTCTGTGTCGACATACGCATAACTTCTCCTTTTTTTTCTTTTTTTGAAGCTAGGTTTTGATCTAGGTTATTATCTATTACTAATACAACAACTTTATATTAAGTACACATCAGTGATCATCGAAATTTCATTCTAAAATTTGTAACGTTTTCAATTTGTAAGTTCCTTTACTCTGAAATAGAATAATACATTATAAGACCACTCAATTATTGGCTGATCCCCCACAGTGGGCATGAGCCACAAGTGAAGGGCAACAAGAAGAAGAACAAGAACGAACACAATCCGAGCCATTTTCGCTCTGTCTGGCTCATCAGCGGCCACGTCCTCTCCTTGCCCGGCAGGCAACTAGAGGCTTGCGCTAAGACGTGATGCAGAAATCGTGGACCGAGTCGCTGTACTCCAGGAACACGCCCAGCCGAAAGTGCCTGGAAAGGGTGACGCGCGACCTCGCCGATCATCACGCCGACCCTCCGCCTGGCGTGTTCATGGCGCCCGAGGAGGACAACGTGACAACAGTGCACGCCGTCGTTATGGGCGCCGCAGGCACGTCGTACCAGGGCGGCTTCTTCCACCTTCTCATGAAGTGCACGAACGACTATCCAATGTCGCCGCCTCAAGTTCGCTTCATGACGACCGACGGCGGGCGCGTGCACGTTCAGCCCACACATCTCCCGCAATGGCCAGATCTGCCTGAGCCTGCTGGGCACGATGATCGGGCAGCCCTGGACGCCCGCGCACAACCTGTCGTCGGTAGCCCTGTCCATCCAGTCGATGCTGGACGACGCCATCAACTGCGTCGACGCGGCTCTCGAGCACGTCATATTCGGCTACTGGGGTCCGGCTAGCCGGAGGAGTCTGCGGTACGAGACCCTCCGGGTGGCCGTTTGTGGAACAATCGAATCGTGCCTCGAAGACGACTGCCCTTTCCCGGCCGTCCTGCGAGACCAGCTGCTCGCCAAGTTCGCCGAAGACTACGCGAGCAACGAGGCCGCCGCCAAGGAAGAGCTAGTCCAAAAACGAGGGTGGGATTCTGGCTTGGTTCGGCGCCGAGAACAAGTACCAGACGTTATTGACGAGATTGCAGAAGCTCAAAGAGAGGGTCGACGAGCGTAACGGGGCCAACAATGGCGCAGCCACCTCATGAACCAAGCATGACTCGGCGACACACAAGTACTGCGTTCAGTTGTCCCGTAGTAACTCAGTGTGGCGAGGCGCTGAAGAGAAGCCAAGGCAAATGTGAGCCTTCTGAAGGGCTCTCAAAAACAAAATTACGAAAATACGTCAGTTGGTCTGGCGGTCCCCATCTATCGGCAGAATAATTAAAGCAGTTCTACAGCATCTCCAGTATCCATTCTCCTCCTTCATTTCGATATGTCAGTATGAAATAATGTGCACAGGTATGAAACAGTAGCCGAACGAAGACTGGCTGATAGCGTAGTACATCATCATGATTCGACGCATCGAGATGTTGCACATCGGGGGAACATAAGTTTTCGTTTAGCGCGCGCCACGGCCTAGCGCACGCATCGCCCGAGAGGGAGCACGGCTGCGTATACGCTGTCACGGCCGCCTGGATCAGGTGCACGCTGCCCGATCCAGGCGGCCGTGGCGCTCTACGTAAGAGAGATGCGTGCGTTTGCGCTCGCGAGGGATGCGTTCACTAGATCTCGGCTCTTACGTTGCGCACGCTACAGCCGTTGGGTGCCTTAGCAGTGGTTCTCACGAGATCTCCCCCTGGTGAGAGCACGAAAACCAAGATGGCCGCGACCAACAGCAGCACAAGCAGCAGTGCGGTCATGGCTGCGAGTAACTCCCGCGTGCATTTCACGAATGCCCTTGATTTGGAGCTCCTTGCTTACGCGAGGAGCTTAAATCCGTTCGCGGACCCCGTGCAGTGGACACTTATCGCTGTGAAAATACAGCAGCTGACGGGGATGTCTTTCAACGCCCGGTATGTCCAGCAGTTTCATGTATCATGTCTTGACTCGTGTCAACTATGGTTGGCTATCGTAGTTTATTGCCTAATCACTAGGTGGCGCTAAGTAGCACCTCAAGACGAAGGTGTTGACGCTTAGGCTGCAGTCCATGTGTCTGTTGTCGCGTACGTTAAACTAATACTGAAGGAAGGAGCCTCAGCTGTAACGTACGTAGCGCGCTAGCCGTTGCGCACGTACCGCCTTGCGAGCGCTATATACTAACTCTGTTGTTGCTCATGTGTAGGGTGGCTAGAAGGGGGAGGTGTGCGGAGTGCTACACGTTTCCCTTGCCACAGAGGGTCCCTCTGCGTGCCGCCGCCGCTGGGGGCGCTGCTGCAAGGGGCGCTGTAGAGTCACTGTATATGCTACCTTTAGCTACCTATAAATGTAGTATATAGAGTAACTCTAGGGCGCTGCATGGAAATGATTCATGGTTCTTGGTTTGACGTTCGGCGATGCCGTCTTGTGCATTAGATCAGAAGTTCAAGCAAGATTAGCAATTAAGCAACGTGGAATAGGTAGGCTTGCTTTAGGAGCTCACGGGAATACACCAAATCAGGGAGTAATACTCCTGTCACACGGGCACTTAAAAGTCTTTTAAGTAAGCGGTCTTTTTCCGAAAAGGAGTTCCTGACAGCAGACACACGGCACAGAGCGAACTCCTTTTCAGAAGCGGTCTTTTTCGTAAACGGCGTTCGTCGATCTCTTTTACGGCTCCGAATGAGTAGCCTCGAAACCAGTGGGCGCCAGCAATTTTCGAGTGGTGGGAAAAAAAGAGCGAATGCTTATTTTTCTGTCACCAAAACTCTTTGTAAAAACAAATTTCATATCCTGCAGAAGGTGTAATGAACTCTTTTAATGGTTATTTCCTCGTCTACTCTCGTAAGCAGGTACAGCGCGTCGGCAATATCACGTGGTGACGCTCGGTCTTGTGCTGCTTTATCCTCTCCTTGGCGGCTTTTGCAGCGTCTGCCTCGCTTTCCAGAGCGAGAAGGCAGGCCGTGAGGCTTGCGATCCTCGCTTTTTCTCCCGTACGGTCGCCCATAACGTGTCGAGAGCAGCGAAAAACAAATACGACAAATAAAAGCACAGTGGTGCCAGACGGACTTGTGCACGTCGCTAGTTATGGAAATGCTTCCTTATCTAGTGCAAAAAACTTTCACATTGGTGTTTCTTCATCTCTTATTCTTAAATTTATTTGAAGAAACGAGCAGTGCAACAAGTCTTTAATATGTACATCGTGATACATCGTTTAATTTTCATTGCTTCTCTTTTAACTGCTAGCGCCACGCTTTCGCTAGCGTCTTCGAACGAAAACACTAAAAGGAGATCGTTGCTGCCGTGTGTCTGCGCCGTTTGTTAAAAGTCTTTCAACTTCGTAAAAGACCGCTTACTTAAAAGACTTTTTGCGCGCCCGTGTGACACAGGTATAAGGGTGATATGGGATGGACATCATTCGAGGGCAGGGAAGCTATATCAGCAAGATAAAGTTTGAGAAATGTTTGAGAGAAATGGGGGAGGAGCGCTGGGCTAGGAAGGCTTTCAGCTAGTTGTACATGAGGAATGTCGATTGAAAATGGAGGAAGCGAACGAGAAAATTGGCGGGTAAATACTTAGAAAACAGCAGGGGGCCAAACCAAAAGGAACTATCAATTAAGAAGAAGGCGAAGGAAACGCCGAGCGACATGCACTAGAGATCTATCGAACTTTCAAGCAGGAAATTGCAAAGGAAAGGATCTTTGACAATTCCCGGGGTAGTTCTCTACTGTTTGAGGCAAGAACGGGAGTATTGCAAACCAAGACTTATCGGGCCAATTACAAAGGGGTAGACTCCGTATGCAGTGCGTGTGGAGAGGAGGAGGAAACTGCCGAACACTTCATAATGTTCTGTAAAGGGGTTCACCTTATAGTTCAGGATGAGAGCGCATAGTTTTTCAAAGCACTGAGGTTTACGGACAGGGAGGGCGAAATTGACTTTATGTGAGTAGAATTAACTAGAAGGAGGTTATCTAACTGGTGGCTAAAGTCAAGGCACGAATGAAAATTAAACCCTTCACTGCAATGTACGGTATTCACTATTTAAAGAAACTTCAACTATTTTAAGAAACCTCAACTCACAATTTAAAGAAAAAAAATCAATCTAGTTTTTCGTTCACTAAGTATTACGGCTAGGTGGCGTTAGCCACCGCCCCATCTAAAGGGTACAGCCATATCAATCCACCCATACATCTAGCCGCCGTCGCATATTACTCCAAGAAAGTATAGCGCTCGACAGCGCAGAGTCCTTCCCCAAGTTTTCTTACAGCGTCCACGTTGTTTGGATCATACATTTTTGAGCAATGAGGACAATGTCTTTATAGAATGATGAAGAAAGCTTAATGTCCTTGCTTCATTCGTGACTGCAACTTTGAACCTGGCAGAGCAAAATGGCTCGGATGCTGTTCAGCCGAGAGCGTGCGCGTGGCACTGAAGATGATCGCGAGCTACGAGACGTCTTTTATTTGTCGCCAGTAATAAGTTGGCTCACAGACAGTGCAGGAAGGACATTGGTAAAAAAATCAGTGGATTATTCTTATGCGCTGGGAACAGATAAGGTTCCTGCAGGTCGTAAGGGGCCAAACTTGACACTGGGCGCGTCCAGCAGGACCTCATTGAAGTTATTTCAATCAATCAATATAGATTAAAGGAACCACCATGTAGATAGATGGATAGATAGATAGATAGATAGATAGATAGATAGATAGATAGATAGATAGATAGATAGATAGATAGATAGATAGATAGATGACAGACAGACAGACAGACAGACAGACAGACAGACAGACAGACAGACAGACAGACAGACAGACAGACAGACAGACAGATAGATAGATAGATAGATAGATAGATAGATAGATAGATAGATAGATAGATAGATAGATAGATAGATAGATAGATAGACAGACAGACAGACAGACAGACAGACAGACAGACAGACAGACAGACAGACAGACAGACAGACAGACAGACAGATAGATAGATAGATAGATAGATAGATAGATAGATAGATAGATAGATAGATAGATAGATAGATAGATAGATAGATAGAGATAGATAGATAGATAGATAGATAGATAGATAGATAGATAGATAGATAGATAGATAGATAGATAGATGGATAGATTGATAGATAGATAGATAGATAGATAGATAGATAGATAGATAGATAGATAGATAGATAGATAGATAGATAGATAGATAGATAGATAGATAGATAGATAGATAGATAGATAGATATGGGATCAAGTTTATGCGGCTAAACTATTCTTTGCGAACAATTTTGCTTATTTTGCCATCAGAGGTTCGCTAATAGAAGACGAGTGAGTGCACAAAGAGCTAATACGTGTATTTGGCGCGAAATTGCAGCACCCAAATTCCTTTGTGATGTCGCTAATTTCAAACACATTGCCTCGCATCTCCGGCTACAGAGAATGAATCAGTTTCTTAAAACTCCTAATCACAAATATGTAGCTCCCTTTGAACACAAGTTAGTTTTTAATGATAAAACAACTGGGTGGGCCTCAGCAGATGTATCTACGACGTCTCGACGAGCTGCTGTGGAAGTTTCAAGGTTCCCTCGCAAAGTACGCAACTCACGTTATGTTGGGCATCGTGTTGACCAGGTTTCCTGCCAATCCCGTACGCCTTGCGTCAATAGATAGTCGAAAGTAGTCCTGAAGGGAAGATCAGCAGTCCAAATGGCGCCATTGCTTAATAACAAGTGTTCCTATCGACTCACCCGAGTCAACAGGCCCTTTGACGCAAATATAGCAACAAGATAAAGCTAAATGTTCTATCCATTCAAGGACCCCCCCCCCCTCCATTTCACACGTAAACCTGCAAGGTCCTGAGGGAATGTAATAGTTGAACCTAATTTGCAAGCCTTGAAGAGATCGAACAAAAAAAAAAAAGGAGGGGGATTCCCCTGTAGTGCCTTATACCATCCGGTGCCGGTGACCACCTTGTCACCGGCTGCGTGCATCTTTGTAATTAATAAACAGGGGGAAAAGATTTGAAGCGTGCCCTGAACGAACAAATGCGAACTAAAAAAGACACTGACTTCCTGTTTTCTGTATATATGTACTTCACGGAGTTTCCCTTCGTTGATTTAGATGTGATCTGAGCGAAGTTTCCAAACCCGAATGGCATGATTTCTTCTTTATTTTCTTCACATGCAGCCTCGACTCTTCATACCCTTGCGGTGCGCTTCTGAAACACACACACACACACACACACACACACACACACACACACACACACACACACACACACACACACACACACACACACACACACACGCGCGCGCGCGCGCGCGCGCGAAGTGCAACACTGGTTACAAAGAATTGCACTGGAATATAGAAAATACCATATTATTATACAGTTGACACAGCAAGTAGTTAAATTCCAGATTATGCTGGCCGTATGAGGGCTAATGTGAGATGGTGTTGGTTAAATGACTTGTAGTATTGGCTAAATAATGGTTTGTGTCGGCTAGGTTTGAAACATGTTAGCATAAGTGACGGAATCTGAATTATCGCTTACGCACTCTCTTATAATACGCCTACTAAATGTTCCTGTACATTTTTTTATTTCATATTTCCCGTTTTTTTACATGATGTAAACGAGAAAGAAGACATTTAGTGGTTACAGTACCTTCGGTGAGAAAGGAAATGAACATAGCCTGTAAATGGCACACAGGGCCCGTACCACCCCCCCCCCCCCTTAATCTTTGTTTTTTTCATGGTATACAGAGCAACAAATAACGCTCCAGCACATCTATTCGCCCGACCCCTACTTAAGGTCAAAGTTGTGCCTCCCTCCTCTATCACCACACCCATCGAAAAAAAAAAAAATTCTGGCTACGCCTCTGCAGTTGTGGGTTCGGATTTCTCAGACGTAAAATGCAATTTTTCTCCCGCTTCATTTCAATTCACGACACAGTCAACACACAAAATACAGTCCAAGACGACAGTTAACATCCTCTACGCTTTCCCTGGATTAATTGTTTGTTTGATTCAATTGGCTGTGTCAAAGCATTCTTCCACTTTCCTCTTACACAAGTTATACTCGCCTTTCGAAGGCCTTTATCGACTCGGTTACTCAGATATGCGCGTGAATGCGACATCCAAGGCGAATGACACCGTACGTGTGTAGGATGTCCTCGTGGGGAAGAACAAAGCACATTCACATCTGCAGAGCGAAGCTCAAGGCAGGACTACCGCGCACGATGACGCATCACTGGGGGGAATTACGCAGTAGCCTACGCACTTGATGTAATATATAGTAGCTAACGTGGTTGCTTGGGCGAGTTG